CGTGAAAACATGCATGTGGCAAGCGAGGTCATCTCCTCATTCGCAGAGCTCTTAATCCCTCGCTACTGCTTTCGAAGGCCCCCGCTGCTGCGCTGACCAAGCTGACGGCATTGTGCGCACTTGGAGCCGCAAAAGCAGCCGATGCCAGCCTCAAGCCAGGCCCGATGCTGAACATCATGCGGCCAGGCAACCCTGCTGCACACATTGCAAGACTACCTACCACGCCTAAGTTGCGAGTGTGCATTAGATACGTCCGGTGATGTCAAACAGAAACGCCATACTTCAAGAGCAAAATGATGAGCTCTAACATACTCACACTTAAAAAGCCATCATGTCTTTCCTCAATTGCCGCAGTGTGAATGACTCGCAGGAGCTATGCATCCATCCATCCACATGGACCAATTCTAGAGTGACATCCGCAGCAAGTGACTATGATTTGACAGCCCAAGGCGACCTGCAAGGGACAACTCGTGCCACCGCCTTGCATTCGCCCGGTACAAACTCTAGCATGTCTTGTGGCGACCTCTGCAAACTGCACGAGCCTGCTCTTTTCCCAAACACGTGCTTGCTCACAGCCACACAGAATTTGACGGAACCTCCGAAGTTGAGAAGGCTGACACCATGCAAGCTCCAAACAAGCTCCTGTGACCATTGTATCTGAGGGTGTCTGACACCCGCTCTGAGGGCCACGGCCACGGTGAAGGCCCCCAGGCAGGCCGCGCAGAAGTAGCGGTCGCAGGACCCGCAGATCTGTCGCCTGCAACGTTGCCTCTCGACTTGTCTAGACTCATGCGGCTTGGGCCTGCGCCTGGCTTACGGCACATGCTCAAATCAGGGCGATTTGGCACGGACAAGGGCAAAACTTGCCTGCCTTCGGAGCATGCCAAAGTGCTCGCCACAGCCCTCACAGCGGGTGCCATCCTGAGCTGGGATGCACGGGAGCGGTACTGGAATACCTAAAAAGTCCGGAAAGAGCTCCATTGAAAACGGAAAATACGATTGCCGAAGTGACTCTGGCGTCTGACAAGTAACCACTAGCAGCTGACAGTTTTCGAGCTAGCAGTTTGAGGATTCAGGAAACTGCAAGAATACTTAGGTTACTCGCAAAGACACAGAAAATACACGCTGCAATCAGGAAAGCCGTTTCCGTTGGATGCTGCCAACTCCATGGCAAGCTGCCTCCCAGCTTGTGCCAAGAAAGAAAACGCCCAATGTTATAGGGAATGATAGATATCTGATGCCTGTTCTGGGTAAATTACAACATCTGAGACTAGGGCGGACGGCACCGAAGCTGAAGCCCGGTTGATCCCCAGCAGGTTGGCACCTCGGCAAACTCTTTTGGCAACTTGACAACTGGGACACAAACGGGCACCGAGTTCTGTGAGGTCAGGCATGTAGATTTTGGGGAAACAACGTTCGTCCACTGTGGACGCCACATTCACATTCTCAAGTTGTGCACAACCCAGAGCCACACAACTCCGAACTACGAACTACTGCTCCTTTCACAACCGAGAAGATATAGCAGGACCAGGACTACCATTGGCAGCAAGCCGGTTCGCAGCGGACTGGTCAGCTCCTTGCATGAGTAAGCTCTTCGTCCGGAAAAGCGTGAGACCGAGGCTCTCACGAGCCTGCGCCTCACCCGCCAGTGCCTGGAATGCTCCGCGCCTCACAAAGGTAGGATCTACCAGTAGCCCAGTCCGGTAGCCCGTTTGGTTTCAAATCAACTTCACCTTCTCGGCAAACAGACGGCACATCCTTTTTCTCCTGGCAAAGCTTCACTCGACGTAGACGTCCATCTCCCTCAGGCGCCACCAAACAAGATCATCTGCCGTTGTCCCTTCTGTGAAAGCTTCTTAAACCCAACAAATTGATGGGCGCTTCAAGAGGGAAACCAATGTTGACCAGTTGCGGGGTCTACAGTAACTTGTGTTGATTCATGTGTGTGTGTGTGCGAGGCGTTTACATGTGGTTGCCATGCCAAGTGAGCGGCCGCGCAGAGTTCAGCGCATACTTTGCCATGACTGTGGCTGGAACCTGGCGGTGCCGCTGGTCAATTCAGGAAGACAGGCAGTCGATTTGGCCTTGCAGCAAGAGGCTCCTGGAGGATAAGAATGCCAGAAGATGCGGGTTTGCGAGCGCCTTGAAATCCCTTGAGCTTGCCTGAGCTTCACGTGTTTTCCACGGCAAATCAGCATCGTGCAAGAGCGATACCGAGTGGTCCTATCATAGACTTGTCGTGTGCAACAGGCTGGAGCCCATGCTTGGCTATTACTCTTGAACACCAGTCTCCATCCCACGGCGTTCCCCAACCTCCTGTGGGTGGCAATCCAGATCGTAGCCTCAAGTGCGAGCCAAAGGGCTGCACTCATGAAGCCGGGCAAGCCGGGCAAGCCGGGCACTGAGCTCGGAGCGCATGCAGTGAACGAAAATCTGTTGACGGATGTGCTGCTTCCTGGGGATGGGGCACATATCCCAGGATCATGGACTCAGTGTTTGGAACTTCGTGTTGCAAAGCTAACAGCACCAGGTCTGATTTACACTCACACGCGGGAAACCTCTCTCTGGTATGTAAGCCGACAGGCACTGCCACAATACAAATTGTTATAGCAAGTTAGTGGACTGTTTGCAAAGACTGGCAGTGAGCGAACTGTCTTGTCGCTGTCACATTTGATAGTCCAAAACGAGACTGTAATAACAACGCACCTATGTGCGAGTGATGGTGGAAGTCCTCTCGCAGCATAAATTCATCAACCGGCTCACCAGGGCTTTTCCCCCGTTTACTTTGGGCGAGGGCTTTTGCAGAGCAACAAGAGTGTACCTACCATTTGGAGGATTTGGCGGGGTCCGCAAGTTTCGGGGACCCCTCACCTCGCCACCCCAACCCCGGCAATCACCGAGGCACAGCATCACCGCAGCCTTCAGCCGCCGGTTCCCGCAAATCACCACGTCCGCACCCTTGTGGTGCACTACCAGCAGCCTGGGCTCAGTGGCAAAATTGGTAGCCGCTAGATGGTCCACGTTTGGAAGTCAAAAGGAAAAGAAGCTTGAACAGAAAGTTGCCTGAACATATCGAATGAGGTGCTCGGCTGCCCCTACGGCCTGCGTGTTTCCTTGAAGATGAGCCAGAGTTCTAGCTGGGAGGGGCTGAGGACGCTCCAAGTCAGGCTAAACCCCTTGAGTTTCTCCTTTCGTTCTAGGATTCCTCATTGACCTTGTTTCTACCCACAAAAACATCGCTGACCTCTCCAGCATGCATGTGTGTGAGTGTGCGTATGTATACATATATATATATATAGGGGGTACCATACATATATATATATATATATGTATATACATATATATATGTATATATATATACATTCATTACTATGTCTGTGCGTGTGCGTGTGAGGGAAGAGCATTGATGAACTGTGATCGATCGGCTCGCATGATTGCATGGTCAAAAATAGTCGAATGATATCCACTCAGGCAAATACGTTCGTGCAACCTGATCAACTTACTCGCTTCAAAGTTTGAATCATGGCAAGCACAGACTAGATGAATGGAGCGCCTTGTTCCTAGAGGCCATCGGCCTATAAACCAGAAGGCTTTAGCATATAAGCACAATGTTGCCGTCAATGTGCTCCTGCAGTTCAGTTTGCGAAAGCATTCCAAGGACTTGCCAGTACCACAGCCCAGCCCCTGCCGCCTCTGTCTTTTAAAATAACATGGCCGGCGACATGCTGCTAGAGGGTGGCCGTGAGCGATTCGGCTACCTGTTCCCCTGTTCCTATAACACTATATACACAAACTGTGCATCCATGCCCGGTCTTCCTATCCAACACTTGCGTGAAAACAAAACCTAACCGAAAGAACAAAGCTGCTACATGACCATCCAACCAAACATTGCTTCACAATCGCGGGCAACAGCCAAATGCAGCTAAGTGCACGGAGGCATGTATTCCAGGATACTCCTTGGATGATGCAGCTCCACTCCGAGAACGCCACCGCTAGTCCGTCAAATGTCTCTCACCATATTAAAAGCCAATAATGTGTCTGAGAAAACAGCCAAGGACACAAAGCCAAGTCGCCCCTCATCGTTGTACCATTTGAGGCCAGCATCATTCTGGCCTTGGTGAGCGCAAACCATCTCGGCCCAAGTAGGACAATGATCATGGCAATGGGACCCAGGAGCGGGTCTCTAAGCTATTGTCACCAATTTCAGGCCACCTCCACTGCATGTTCTCTCCGCATCAATGCAGGTCACTTTCTTCACGCTTAGGCCGCAAGAAGCTCTTCTGCATTCAAGCACGAGGAAGTAAGCTGCTGCCCGGTCGCCCTGCTTGTTGAGAATCTCGTAGATGCACTTGTTGGCATGCTGACCACGCTGGAACTTTCCCCACCTGAGGTCGGATCCCAAATGCTTTTTGGTTGACATGAAGGCCAAACCCTGAGGCTTCCACACCCTGTCTTTGCCGAAGCGAAGCGCCCCAACTTCCAACACCTAGCGTCATCAGGATGGCTTCCACAGGATACTTGGCACGGCTTCAGTTGGCTCATGCAATTGGATTGCAACTTGGAAGGCCATTTGACCAGAACACCCCGCTCAGACCCAGAACACCCAGCCCGCCTCCTGGGAAGACCATTTTGCCGCCCTGCGGTTCAAACACGCGTCCGAATTGTACCATTGGGCAGGCAAAGCCGAACTTGGCAATGGCACGACCATTCTTGTCAAGCTGCTTGGACACCCTCCCCCCGGCTAACGGCTGCGCCTGAAGGAGTCGCGGCCTGAAGAACGTGGGCAAAAAGGTCCAAAACCGGCTAAGTGGTTTTGAGGCAGGGTTTTCGAGGCTGATCAAAGTTGTCTTAGGGCTACAAAGATGCACGAGGATCCAACTTGGCCATCCACAGCACATCGAAAACCATCCCCCTTGCGTCTAGATGCTCGCGACTTCCTCCAGAATGTTCATGGTCTGTCGCATCCTCTGTGCCTGGAACAGGAGAGCGAGTGCTACAGGACATGATCTGTTTCGAGCTGTATCCCAGAACTGTCAATAAAACATAAAACATTGCTGTATCCCATGTTTGGAGAACGACTTTCTCGCGCCAATCTGCAGTCAGAGTCTGCTGTGTCCTGTTGCTCTGAAGACACCATGTGCTCAAGCAACGCGCTGCCACCTTCCCAAATCTTGGTGTTTGTCGAGTGCTATTGCTCCAAAACACCCCATTCACCGCTGCATTGTGTATCTTGCGGTGCCACTGAACTTGATTACAAGCCCATGAAACACAACGGTTACTGCAGGTACACATGTTGTCTATGTTGGATCAACATGACAAACACAGTCATCAAAGGAAATTTCGTCAGAAAACGTCTGTAGTACGAAAAGTTGAAAACAGCAGAGTCGGGCAAAGAAAGAAAGAAAGCAAGCAAGAATTCCGAAGAAGAAACACAAACAAGGAGACAGAGAAGGAAGGAATTGCGTGGTAGGCTCAGCATATTGCGATTGGCGAGATTGCAAAGGCTACCTCTGTTCAGCGCACCGGTTCGCCGCGGTCTGGCCGCGGAGTTGCCCAATGGCACGGCCGCGCAAGGTTTCGCTAGGTTTGAACTGGGTGGCAGGCGGAGCACTTTGGCAACCTGAGGTGTAGATTTCGTGGCAGGCGCAGCATTTTGTTCCCATGCGCATCAGAATTCGCGACAGGCGCGGCACTTTGGGAAGGGAAGTCGCGCGATTTGCGAATCGCATTGGAGTGGACGCACGAACTGCTGCGTCCCGATTGATTTTCGCACCCTGAGGTGCAGATTTCGTGGCACGCACGAGATAGATAGCGAAAGGGAAAGAGAAAGAGGAAGAGGAAGAAAAAGAGAAAGAAAAGGAGGAAGAGAAAGAGGAAGAAAAAGAGGAAGATACAGAGAAATGAGAAGAAAAGACACGAGATGCTCAGAGAAGAGAAAGAAGGGAAGAGAAGAGATGCACCGCGAAAAACAATTCATCTCCTATAGCACATTATTGGCTACACAAATCTGCCATCCAGCTTTGCTGGGGCATCCCCGGCATCCATGGCCATAAAAAACGCGCATGAACAATGTGGACCATTGCGTATCGATTCTAGTGTCAGCAAAAGCAAATAAAGCAAAAGTCAAACAACTCTGTCCGCAGCATCTACAATATATATATATATACATATGTATATACATGTGTGTCTGTGTGCATACTGGTTGGTCGACAAGTACACCCCCGTCTCAGTGAAGGGGAAGCTCGGTCCGACGCATGCGGAGGTTCGACCTGCCATGTCAGGAAGCTCCAACGGCCGTATTAGGCCGTTCGGCCCTCCTCACTTGGAGAGAGTGGCGGGTGGCACGCACTACACCCACCAACCGCTGCCGCCACCCCGCCACCGCCGCCGCCGCCACTATCAATATGGCAGCTGTTACTGCAATTTCAGGTGGCAATGTGTCGTTCTCACTGCTACAGGTGCACCGGGAACGGGCGGCACGTTTCAGGATCACACGACGTTTGCAGTGCTGCCTCTCGCCCCCCCTCGTCCCTGAAACATTACTCGAGTACTTACTTTTTCCTTCTTACCGTATTTACTTTACGAAACGGGAAGGCTCGAATGGGGAAAGAGGCTCAGATGATGAAGGAGTTCAAATGTAGGGAAGGAAGTTGAAAATGGGTCATGGCCTGCGGTGAATGTCCTTTACAACGGCATGTGACCAACACGGTGTAAATTGTGTTGCATAAACCTTATGCCTGATTTCTGCCGCCATGTCAGCTCTTCTCAAGCCGGCCGAGGGTAGACCAGGACTATGACCTTTCAAAGACATGTCAACGTAGATCCAAGCATCCAAGGCATCCAACTAATCATGGTTTGCGTCAGCTAATTATGCAATTGTGAAAAAAAGTAGTGAACAACAATCGCATTTCGAGAAATGTACATGCTTGCTGCGCAACCGGACCCCCGAAAAAATGTGAAGCAAGCAGTTGTTCCCGGTGAATCCAAAGGTGCCAACAGAAGTCACAATTAGATCCAACGCAAACAATGCTGAATACATCGTAAGTCTAGATAGTCATAGCATGTCACACGAACCTGCCGTCCCTGAGTGCCTGGTTGCAATCAAACACTTCCTTATTGTCTCCATACTGTTTTGGTGCAGGTAACAACACCGTGCCTCTGCATCTCCGGCATGCCATCTTGCGCCGTGAATCTGAGGGCGGCGGTTGGGTTTTCCGCATGGGAATCCAAGCAGTGCTTCGAGTAAAGACCGTTGGCACGTCTGCGAAGCAGGTGCCACAAACAAGGTCGACAAGAACATGATCAATGGCCTGCCTTTCAAGTGCACACCATACCACTTCGCATCCCTCACTCTGAGCAATGACCTCAAGAGAACGCAAGAAACAAAGGACACCAAGCAAAGGCAAGCACATGCACAAGTATATGCGAATCTCTTAACTAGCTAAGCCGAGCAAGAAGGGATGTTTTGAGATCATGTTTCAGGATACTACTTTCTTAAATTGCAGTGGAGGGTATGCATATGTCGCAATCCGCTTGATAGTCACCCAAGGACCTCCCAAAAATGTGTGGATGAGCAGAAGTGTTTTGCTCCGCGTAGACCCACCATGTGAAGGGACCCTTCTCCTAGGAAACATCCACGCGATCTAACTTTAAAGAATGCCGGCAGCTATCCATATCTGCTAAGTGTGTGACTGAAACAGTTGAAGGGACTGGAAAAAGTAGCGTGTAGACCCTGCTGCATGCAATTCACTGCAGTCGACTACTCCATATTAACTGAAGCCAGATGGATCAGCTTGTCTGTAACACTTGCTGCCAACAGCCCTGCCAAGCAGAAAGGTGAGCTCTCGAGACCAACCAGCTAGAAGTTCTCAGCCAAGACAAGTACACAGCCTGGTTGGCTTCAAGCAAACAAACAACACTCGAATACTTGCAAAATCGAGGACCCTTCGAAGCAAAGGAGGGAACCAACCTGAAACTGCCCATTTGCAGGGGCTTCTGATTTGACGTATTCCGATTGCAGAGGGTGGCTTGCCTGGCTGGAGTCGGAGGGCTCTGCCTGGCGCCCCGATGAAGGTAACTAACTGTACACACGGGCGAGTCTCAAAATTCCTGGCCCACAGCTTGGAACTGACCCGTATCCCAAGAAAAAAGAACATGTACTGCACCAGACCCTGCAAACGAGTAGGATCATTGAATCATTGAGGTTGCAGCTTTGTTGGTAGTGCATTCGTCATTCAGTATCAGCGCGCGAGTGACGACAAGCCCTTTGCGGCCCATTTCCGCCAGCTGGAATCACATGTCCTGTGAAACACAGGTCGCCACGCCTTCCCTGCGAAGTCAGGCGCTCTGTATTCCTGGCGCCACGCTGTCTGCAAAGGCTGAAAGCATAGCCTGGATGGTCACACTTTGCATAGGCATCCTATCGATGCTTATCCGACCCTCTTGATGATCCCGCAAAGCTCAGCCTCTAAACCGTCCAACCCCCCCCCCCCCCCCAAAAGCAGCGCCTGATCTTCTCCAGCCCGCCAGGTCCAGTCACTTTTCCAGCGCTTCCTGGCCATGGTCGCCTGTGCGAAGTTCAGCACGCCCCTCCTCGGCTGCAGCACCACTGCGCCTCAGACGACTGACGCTTCAACTCTCCGGCGCTGGACCCATGGACCCATGGCCCCATGGTCATGCGCTGTTCGCGGAGTACGCACAAGAAAAGGGGGTCCTTCAGGATGTAGCCAAGAACTTTGACATGTAACGCACATCTGAGCCATGTCCTAAACGTGTCATGATTTGCTATGTCGTATCATTATCCTTACGCCACCAGCTTACGCCACCTTACGCCTGTGGAGTTGTTGCTTACGCGCTGGTCGATATGACATGATCCTCGCTAAACATGTACACGGAGGTTTTGGACGCCGTAACCATGCCTGTTTGAAACCCCGTTTGTGTGAACAGAATTCGGTCTAACTCGTCACAATGACAATGACTCTGCAGCACTCTGCCTCTCTAACTCGCAAAGGCGCCCTTGCCGCGAGCGCCCTTTGCAGCGCCTTTGGCGCCGGCACCCCTTCCGCCGTTTCCATGCGCACCTGAGGTTTCCCCAGGCGCTGATGCAGGTTCATTATGAGGTCCAAAAGCAGTGTGTTGGGCCTCATTCTCGTGGGCCCCAGGCAATGGTCAGCTAAATGTGTGCTGTCTTCAAAAACTCGAGCGAGCATCTTCACTTTTCCACATGCAACATTTGCAGCAACACCAGCTCCTCCCAACAGCCTGGACATCCTTTCAAAAAACATCAAGTTCCCAATATTGCTTGACGAAAATGGTCTCCAGGCCTGGCCCAGCCCCCAAATTACTTCCAAAGGCCGGTTTTGGCCTCTTACACCCGGGCCGCCGCGCTCTTCAAATACTGTTTGAATAGCCGGTTCTTCTCCTTCTTGCCTCCTCTTGCCCTCTTCTGCTTTGCGCCTGTCAACGCGACGCGACGCGGCCACGCGACGCGGCCACGCGGCGTGAAGCTGAGTTGACCGCCTGACGCTTGCGTCTTCCATGCCGCGTTCTTCCAGCCGGGCTTCGATGGGCCAACCTCGCGAGGCGAGCATCCAAGAGACCAGATCTTTTAAAGGAACACCAAAAGGAGAAAAAATAAAAAAGAAAAAAAGAAACCACCATTTTTGCGGGGGGTCCCCTCAAAGAAGACACACCCAAACAACCTCGGTGCTTCGTGCCGCGTGAGAAAATGGTGCAAACCACGCCTGGGGCGAGGAAGGCCGGCGTGAAAGTGGCGAGCATGGTCTGCGCGGGGTGGTGACATCGCCTCAGCATGCTTGCCCTGCACACGCTCAAAAACAAGTAAAAACGCTCCGCACACTGATTGAAGGATGTGCAGGCAAGTGCAGGCAAGCAGCACCCCGAACGCAGGAGTATGAGCAAAATCGCGGGACTGATCTCGCGTTTTTTACCTTGTTTGGGGCACTTTCGGGTAGTTAATGATGTGTTAACGGACCAACATGGCGCGCCTAAGGCTGCCAAGCTGCTCTCCTCAGAGTCACTCACCTCCAGTGGTCGGGGCGCCTCCTCCTGCAGAAACCGCTGTTGAATTGAGGGCCAGGATCAGTGCCCAGACTACAAAAGTGGGCGACTCGATTCGCTCCGATCAGGGAAGGTTTCATGAGTGACGTAGTATTGTGACTCGCTGTTGACCCTGAAACGATTCATTGATTCCTCGCAAGCAGTCGGTGGGTGCGCCTCTTTTTCGAACACCACGAAATAGGGGTTCTTCTTTTGGTTTCCGTTGTTTCCCTGAGAAAATACACACCTATGCGTAGTCAACAAGTCAAGTTTCTCCTTCACTGCCGTCAGAGCACCAGGCGTCGGCGGCGCAGCGGAACGAGCCGCGGAAGGGCTGCGGCTGCGTGCGCGCGCCTCGATTCGAAACTCCAGTGTCATTTGGTGTGTGTGCCCCTTTTCCCCACACGGACAGAGCCTCTGACGGACAGACGCGGCAGGCAGCTGCAGCAGAACTTGTGACGGACAGCCCGTGCCACGATATTCCCGGCCAGGGCAGCCGCGATATTTCAAAGCTGGAGTTGTTTTTGGTGAGTGATCAGGCCGGACAGCCGCAACAGCCGAGCCCAAGGCTGCCGCCGCTGCCGCCAACCACAGCTCAAAGTCTCAAAGTCTGGCTGCTGATGTGACACGCCCCAGATGCAACGCCAAGCTTGACGTGAAGTTCCGCCGCCTTCCCGGAAGCCTTCGTTTCGCTTGGGCCGCTTGGCTTGCATTGCTCGGCGTCAGAGAGGTGGCTTGGCTGTTGGTCTGACAAAGAGCCAAGCGTCAGGAGCACGCAATTGGTGCGCGCACGCAGAAAAAAGCGTGCCGCTGACGCTCTGCTGGGCCACAGGACCCAAGATTGAGCGCTTAGCCGCTTAGCCTTTTTTTGGTTTGGCAACCTTTGACCCGCGCGTTCAGCTCAGATCGGATCTTGGGGCTACAAATGGTGTGTCCTTGCAAGAGGGAATCTCCACCAAACTCGAAGCGCATCAGCCAGCAGCATGCTCGGCCAAGCAAACTTCTTAGGTGGGGATTGTTCGAAGTGAAGTAAGTTGTGGGCACCCTTAGGGTTGGTTTAAAGGGAAACAAGGAAACCACCAATTTCGGGGGTTCCCCAATTTTTGGACACACCCTGGTCGCAGAAACGAAAGGGCACCCAGGAGCGTGCTGGGTCGCAAGGATCAAGCATGCCCGCCCTTCACCAAGGCGCTTCAGCCGCTTCAGCCGCTTCAGCCGCTTCAGCCGCAGGTGCTTCAGGCAGTTCAGGCGCATGCGAATCAGGCACTTCAGGCGCTGGCCGCGGCATCTTTTTGGCCGCTGGCTTTGGCAGCCTGAGCTTTGGCCCTGGCACCTCAGGCGCAAGCCAGGAGAAACAGTTGATATGCCGTACAGCGTCCGTGCAGCGTCCGTGCAAGCCGTGATGCGCCCATGCGAAACAGAACAACCTACGTGCATGGTGGCATGTTGTGCCGCGCCATCCAGCGTATGTTCGCCAAGCTCGCGCTGTCACTGACCAACGGGTGAAAAAAACATAGCCTTGCTTGACTTGCAAGCGCATTCTGCATAATGAACCGCAGCGTCGAACTATCCAGCTAGCCTGTTAGTCTCTTTCAGCCAGGTTGTCATAGCCAGAAAGAGCGCAAAGTAATTCATTCGGAAAATGAGGCAAACTTGGGTCAGCTAAAACCGTCAAGCATACACCAACATGTAGGATAGTCAAAGAGTTCACCAGAGTTCGTGTTCGGCGGAATTCATCGCGAAGAAGGCAGCAGCTTAGCATTGCTCCCTCACGGACTAGGGCACCAAGGATGAATCTAGGACTCTCCGCAACCCTTCCTTGAAAGGGCAGTGTGCAAGGGATGAAGCAACAGTGTTCATCAAATCATTTCAACTGACACGCACTTCCCTGTGGCCTCATGTCGAGCGCGATCTCAAGCAATCTGGGATGTGACATTGGAAGCTGGCACCAGTGAATAGGCCAAAAGAGTCAAAACCAAATCAAATTTCAGAGAGCTTTGCCCTCAGCTCCAAAAGTTCTCCCGCCTCTGTCCTGCGCTTGGGAAGCGGAAGCTTCAGCGGGGCACCTCAGCATGGATAGTCTCTCAGGGTCCAGTGGGCTGAGTTCGTGCTGGATCCGAAGTACCTGTGCTTCAAGCATCTATTTCTCTAGATTCGGGAGATTATCAACAAGGACAGCTGCGTATCAACTTGGGAACAAGCAAGCTAAGCCAAGTCTCATCCAAAGGTGAAAGCCAAGATCTAAATTGCTTTGTGCGAATGTCCGCTGCTCGGAAGGCGGGGGGTCTCTGGGCTCTTTGACTCCCGAAGCCCTCCCGGCCGCGCCGCCGGCTGGCACTGGCTTCGCCTGGGGCTCCGCGGGCCTGGAGACTCGCATCGAAAGCGCCCGAAGAGAAGTCGAGAAGAGAAGTCGAGAAGAGAAGCGCCCGACATTTCGCTCTTTCTTTCGAAAGACTTCGTTCTGTTCACTCAAAAGAGATCATGACATGGAGATGGTTCACTCAAACAGGTTCGTTCTGTTCATTCAAAGGAGATAATGACATCAACGCCTTTCGCACCAAATATCCCAGCCTCTGCATGCCGTGAGAGAGCTTCTGCAACTCCTCTTTGATCTGTTGTCGCCCCTCTGCATCGAGAGAGCCCATGGCTGTCAAATGAGCCACGGTCTCAAAGTCAAGTCACTGTCTGTGGAGGAGTCAAGTCACTGATGTGCACATTGGTGCAGTGCTTCCATCTTGCAGGCGTTGCGCAGCCCACCGGTCAGTCACGTTGTAAACCGTTGAAAATAGTGACAGTTAGAGAAGTAGTGAAAGCGGTCTGAATAGTATTTGTCATGGCCCCGTTTACAGGCCGGGCTTGCTAACATATTGCTTGTGTTTGCGGCATTGAGAGGGCAACACGTCAGGCTTGAAGGCGAGATGGCAAGGACAAAAATGCATCCATGTGATGCAATGACCCTTTCCGACCCGTCAGGCAACATTGAAAAGTACCCATTCCACGTTGAGGAAACAAGCAACTGCATGACTGCATGACTCACGAAACACTGCGATTTGCGCAGGGGTTTGATGGGCAGGGCCAAACTTGATTGTCGGCCGCTTGGGCTCTTGGGCCCGGGACGCTCGTTGGGCGCCTGCCTGTCAGAACGCCGGGCCCGGGCGTCCCCAATGCGAAGCTCATTGACAAACCACTCGGATGCAATGCGTGGCGGCCGATTTGAAGATTTGTCTGCTCGAACATCTTGTTCTATGCGTACGCTTGTCGATTTCCCAATGATGGGTGCTGGTCACCAATCACGCATGTTGTCTGCTTCACGGTCGCATCATCTTACGAACTTCCGCTTTATCCTTGCTTGCATCCTGGTGCTAGTCGAGCGCTTTGCGATATGTCTTTGTTTGGTGAGCACGCCTGTGGGATTGAAAACACATTGGTGTTTCACAACCTAGGATGTTGCACTTGCCAAAGGATGGGCTCTGTCTGACTGTGTTTCTGTCTCTGGGTCTTTCAAACTTGCCAGCGCAGGTCTGGGGCAAAGCCCTTGAATATTCAGCTGTCAATTGACCTCCGCCCTTGCCATTCCAGAACCGTCGCAGTCCTTTGCTCATGCCGAAGGCATTCCCAACTCTCGCTTCCAGCCTGAAGCGCCATTCCGGCACTGGCTAGCCCAGCCTACAGCCACAGAAAAGGACTTCCCACACATGGCCCTCTCTGGCTCTCGCGCTCCGTGTCGCTCTCTCGCTTTCTCTTTTGCTTTCGCTTTCGATTTCTATTTCTCTTTCTCTTTCTCTTTCAACTGAGCAGCACTATTGCTTGGAGGAAAGCATTCCCACTGGAACATACAAGACTGGCTTCGGCTGGCTTCTGACAAGGTGTCTAGGCGGATTGGAAAGATGCCAAGTTGGGAGTTACATCAAGGAACCTCCAGATCCATCTCGCACCAGGCTGCGTTTGGTACGTCGTACGAGTTGTGGAAAATCAACTCGGGAACATCCCGAAGGCTCCTGCTGGGCTTGGTGTTAGACATGGCTTCGATTTGGCAATGGCTTCATGTACTCTTGCGAATAGAATTGCGGAGTCACGTTTGACAAAACACGGGCCAAAACAAGTAACTACTGCTGCCAAGTGGGCAATTAATGTGCTTGGTGCCCGGCACCAGAGACACCCGTGGCATCTTGCGTCTCACCTGAATCAGTGGGTGTGGTCATCTTGGAGCGTCTTGGAGGATCATGTTGGCAGCTCGCGACATTCTAGAAGGAGATACCAATGGCCATTAAGGGTTGCAAGCAAACACACCCCGGCAAGGGCAAAGGACCTCCAAATCCCGATACTTAGCTGATGAGACTGTAGTGCAGACAACATTCAAAACTAAGTACAACAAGCATGAGCATCAAGGGCCATCAAACAGCCAGAAAAGTAGGTTTCAACTTTTGCAGGCCGACTAATGGCTCGTGGTCGTTCTGAAGTAACGTGTGCTTGGATAAAGCGATTTGGGCATCTTTCAGAACAAACGGCGGTTATTCAGCCCTCAGCTCTCTGGGAGCGAACCAACATCACGCCGTTGCTACTGTGCTACATGTGAATTGAAGACATGGGTTTTTGCCATGGGTGATCGCGGCAACCAAAATTGGGACAGCCTTCCGGATTCCCGTGCCTGCATTGAATCTAAGCCAAGCCAAGCCAAACAATGCACAAGAAGCCTGTGCACCTCTCACCCCAAGGACCTATTGGGGGTCCTTGAAAGGGCCTGGCACCAAATGGCCAAGGCGCGCAGCTGGGAAGCCACAGCGGCGAAGTTCATCTCTTCCGGGCCATGGGCTGGCGCCAGCCACCCGAAAACCGGCTTGCCGCGCCCGGCTGGATCGCTGGATCGTTGCGCACGAGTTGTTGATTTGCGTTTGCAGGAAAAGTGGTGGGGCAAACCTTTGGCCTAAGCAAAAGCTGCCA